ATCGTCATGGTAGCAAGAGCTGAGGTGTTTAAGATGGGCCCATTCAACGGCCTCCTTAGTGCCTGTCCATTCTGCGCTCTCAGCAAAGGCCCAGATTTTGGTGTGAGTGGAAGTCAGTGTATTGGAGGTGTTAAGCATTAAATGGAATTAAATATAAAGGAAACTGGCATCACCTGACACATGGTAGGTTCTATTAAATATTTCTACCTTTTCTCCCTTCTACTCAGGGCCATTCCCTTTTGTAGTCTTACCTCTCAATATTGATTTAAAAGGTTTGTCTCTAGTTAAAAGAATTTCAATAGTAGGAGTGTAGAAGACAGTTTTCAGCAGAGTTCCTTCCCAGAGCTCCCCAATCCATACATGTGGGCAGCCTCCTCCACTGCCAGTGAAGCTTGATTTGCCGTTATTGGAGTCCTGCCTTGAACCCTGCAGATCCCATACGCCAGCTCTTTGTCCTCATCCCAGCTTCTGTTGTTTTGCTGCTGACTGCTCATACCTGTGACCATCAGAGGCCCAAACTTGAGTAGAGCTGGAAGGTCCTGGGGGTTTTATCTCCCCCTAAAAGCAGCAGTGACTGATGAGTGGCTGAGTAGAAAAGCCCAGATACCTTGTTCAGAGGTGGGACATATTCTGAAGTATAATTTACATTACAGAGTTCCCCAAAGGATCAGGCTGAGACTGGACTTCACCTGAAATTTCACCCCTACGTGGCTTCTTTTCCTTCCCTGTCCTACTTTCTCACTCCCTTCCTCGTTTCTCCTGGGAACACTTCTTTAACAAATCACTTACACACAAATTCTTGGCTCAGGGTCTGCTTCTGGGACTACGTAACCTAGGACAGATGCTATTTATTATTCATGAATTCATACAACAAAATTCATTGAATGTCTAAGTTCTTTCTTTCCAGGCTAGTGAAAAAGACAGATATGTAGTTAGGTGAAAAGTAGATATGTTCCAGTTGTGGTGTGGGGCATATAGAGACTGTACACTTCTGGAGCCAATGGAAATTTTTAAAATTATGAACATATCTTCAACTTCTGATAAAGTGAGTTATATCTAGTGAGTTCTCATGTATGGTAAAAGAGTTGGTCTGTCCTTGGCCTCATGATGTTAGCTTTTGAAGAAGAACCAGTCATTTGCCTACAATTCTGTTTTTTTCAACAGACATTTATTGAGCTGCAACTATGAACCAGAGTGTGAGAAACTGACACATAGACTAATAAGCACAATATAGTGAGACAGAGACATCTTGAGTTATGTATAAAGTGCTATGGAAATATAAAAGAAAGAATGGTACTTTTCCAAATAAATGGAAAGGCTGAGTCTTGGAAGATCAGTAGAATTAATTCTGGAGAGAGGCATTTTAGAGAGAGGGAATAACACACCCAACAGTAATTAGGTAGAAGAACCTTGACATATTTCAGGAAGAGCGAGCAGTTTAGTGGATTGGAGCAAGGTTTGCATAAAGAAGAGAAGTGGGAAATAAAGCTGGAGGTGTAGGTTGGAGCTACTTAGTGGTGAGCCTTAGGTGCTTCAGACTTTATCCTGTAAGCAATGGAGAATATTCAAAGACATTGAGGGTTTGCTAAGGCTTACTTTAGAAACCATATGGAGGAAGAGTTAGAGAGAAGAAAGACTTGGGTCAGAAGTATGAAATAGTCACAAGGCTATTATTAGGTTAAACCATAAATAATTTCTTCTATCCAACCATAGTTGATGTCATGGATTGAATTGTGTACCCCAAAAATATCTGTCAACTTGGCTAGGCCATGATTCCCAGTATTGTGTGATTGTCCAACATTTTGTCATCGGATGTGATTTTCTTATGTGTTGTAAACCCTACCTCTGTGATGTTAATGAAGTGGGATTAGCAGCAGTTATGTTAATGTGGCAGGACTCAATCTACACGATTAGGTTGTGTCTTAAATCAATCTCTTTTGAGCTATAAAAGAGAAACACGAACAGAGATATATGGGGACCTCATATCACCAAGAAACAAGAGCCAGGAGAATAGTGTGTCCTTTGGACCCTGAGCTGAGAAGCTCCTCTACCTGGGAAGATTGATGACAAGGACCTTCCCCCAGAGCTGACAGAGAAATCTTCTCATGGAGCTGGCACCCTGAATTTGGACTTCTTAACCTAAGATAGATGCTATTTATTATTCATGAATTCATACAACAAAATTCATTGAATGCCCAAGTTTTTTCTTTCCGGGCTAGTGAATAAATTTCTCTTTGTTAAAGTCATCCATTTGTGGTATTTCCGTTATAGCAGCACTAGATGACTAAAACAGTTGACCTAAAAAACAAACAACTATTTCATATAGTTCAAAGTGATACAATAGCCAAGAAGAATGAGAGTGAGACTCTGAATAATGGCACAAAGATTGGAGTGGAGGGGTCAAATAATAGAGACAAACACGAAAGAAAACTGACAACATAAAATTGATGATCCACTGATTGCAGGGTCAGAGTAAATCGTAGAAATTAGGTGTGAGAATGAAGCATGGGCTCCTAATGGGAATGATGGAGTAGATAGTGAAGAGTATCCTTAAAGGAAAAAGACCCAGAAGGGGAGTAAGTTTAGACAATGAATAGGGAAGCATATCATGCTCCAGAACTCCCAGCTCTTGACTGAAGAAATGCCTCATTTCTTTAGTTCCTTCTTTTTCTGCTATTTGACATTGGACAGGGATGTGATATCCAAATTCCTACAGTTATATCTGCTACTAATGTTAACCCAACAAATAATGCAACCCCAAGTGTATTTACTACTTAGTTAAAACAGGTCTTTAAACAAGAACTTAAGTGAGCAGAATAGAAAGAAAAGAAACCTGTGGTCAGCTTGAGCAGGAATCGGTCCTAATTAGCTTGTTCTTTGAAAATAAGAAGTGTCTTCTCATACAGGACTACAAAGGGATCTTTGAAAGTTTCACAGAATAAATAGGAAAACCTATTTTCTTTCCCACCCCAAGTCTGACCCCTCTTCCAGAGTCATACTATCTCTATTAAAAGTGTCATTGTTATGGATTGATTGAATTATGTCCTCCCCAAGCATGTGTCGACTTGGCTAGACCATGATTCCCAGTATTGTGTAATTGTCCTCCATTTTGTGATCTGATAATCCTATGTGTTATAAATCCTAACCTCTATAATGTTAATGAGGCAGGATTAGAGGCAGTTATGTTAATAAGGCAGGACATAATCTCCAGGATTAGGTTGTATTTTGAATCAGTCTCTTCTGAGATATAAAAGAGAGAAGCAAGCAGAGAGGAGAGGGACCTCATGTCACCAAGAAAGAAGCACTGAGAGTGGAGTGCATCCTTTGGACCTGGGGTCTCTGTGCTGAGAAGCTCCTAGACCAGGAGAAGATTGATGAGAAGGACCTTCCCCCAGAGCCAACAGGGAGAGAAAGTCTTCCCCAGGAGCTGGTGCCCTGAATTCAGATTTCCAGCCTCCTAAACTATAAGAGAATAAATTTCTGTTTGTTAAAGCCATCCATTTGTGGAAGCTATCCACTTTGTTGTAACAGCACTAGAAAACTAAGGCAGCCCCTAAACTCTTCCGCTTTGCTCTGGAATAGATATTGGTCAAAGTGTAATTTTTGTTGCAGTGACATGTCATTTCAGGTACTCCAAATAACACTGCCTTCCTAAAACTGAAATCATCCATTTGCTTAACACAGCCAAGAACTTCTGTCTAGACATTTTATGTAATACCATGCCTCTTGAGATGGGCATGTTGTTTAAGATGATCTGAACTAAATTTTTTGAGAAGAAAGGACTCTAGGAAACCAGTTAAAAAAAAAAAAACAAAAAAAACGGACCAAGGAACACTGAATTTTACTTCTTTCTACTTTTTCTTGTAACAATCCTCATAATAATTTCATTTCATTCTGCTTTTTCTTCTAAAAAGTTACTGAGAAATGTATAAAAAATACTTTTCAGCTGTGACAAAATATTTTCTCAGTAGTTTCAGTTGTATCCAAAGGATTTACGCTATGATTTGGAGATCTTATAGGGTCGCTATTTATGAGTCAGAATCAACTTGACAGCAATGGGTTTGGTTTTTGATTTTTATTGAGAGGTGGGCCTCAGGTTCAATTACACAGTATCATTCATTCATGGCACACACACTTATTGCCAGGCACTGTGGTAGCTGCTGGAGATACAAGCAAGCAAGACTAGGCCTGGTTCCTGCTCTCATGAAGTTTGTAGCCTAGAGATAATGATGAATATTAAACCAATAGTAACATAAATAACTATTAGTTACAAACTATAACTAGTGCCTGAAAAGAGCAATAGTATGTGCCATACCAGGGGTTCAGTCCTAATCAGCAGGATATTCTCTGAGGAAGTGTTTGTCCAAGTTGAGACCTGAAAGATGATTAGGACTTAGTCAGGTGATGCGGGGACGAAGAGCACTCTAGGAAGAGGAAACTGCAAGTGCAAAGGCCCTGAGGCCGGAAGGAGGATGCTATTGTTAGGATATTCAGAGATGGCCAGTGTAGCCTGAGCACAAAAAATCAACAGGGGAAAGGTTTGAAATGGAGATGGAGTTGTAGCCAGAGGATAGATCAAACAGGGTCTTTGAGGCCATGTTAAGAAGTCTGGTCTTTACCCTAAGAGCAATGGGAAGTCCAGGAGGGACAGAATTAGATTTGCCTACACCAATTATTTGAAGTCAATGAGTTTTTATTCAGTACTTACATGTTGTGATAATTGCTCTAAGGATTTATCAGACATGGTCTCTGCTCTCAAGTAATATTTGTGTGGAATTGTAAGAGGCAAGACGAGTGGGAACCAAAGCATGGAGGCAGGAATGAGATAGCCTTGGAAAGATAATATCTAAAACATTTTTCATTTACTTGATCATATTAAATGTGAGTTGATGTGCAGGTTTTGGTTATGGTTTTCTCTTAAAACATTCAAGGAAATGTCAGCTGACATAAGGAGTCATAATCAATAATGCTTTCCACTCAAACCCTCTGTCTGTTCACAGATCAGGTACCATACAAACAACTATGCATCCAGCTCCACTTCCTTGCCCCACCAGTGTTCCTCAACTTTGATGTGCAGTGACTATTCGGCAAGGTGAGACTTAAAAGCTGCCTAGATTCCAACCACAGCCCTCTTCCATCTCTCTGTTCTGATCTGAGTTCATGCTACCAAGGCAAATATCTCTAAGAAATTAAAATGCAAATTAGACATAAACATCTGATCAAGGAAGACTAGATTCTTTAAAAGGTGCCCTGCTGGTGCAATAGTTAAAGCGCTCCTCTGGTAACATAAAAATTGGTGTTCAAACACACCCAGCCAGTCCTCTGGAGATGTTCTGGTAAACATTAGGGCCTAGGAACACTACGGGGCAATTCTACTCATCCTATGTCCTATAGGGTCACTATGAGGGGGAATTGACTAGAAGGCAAACAACAACAGATTCTTTACAAGGAGCCGTTGTTGTTTTTTTAAACTTCAGTTAAATTTCTTTTCTGAGGTTGACTCTAGTCTGATCTTGTGACTGATCAACTCTCATGCTGTGAAAGAAACTGCATGTCACATTTTTCACAGTAGGAACACTCTCTGGGATTATTTTAAGCCTAAGCCACTTCTGTAGTCATTAAACATCAGAATTCTGTGTGTTCACTATATGATTAGTATGATCTTGGTCGCCATTTTGATGAGATCTATTTTATATAAAAGATGTATCTCAATGAACACTCTAGAAAGCAGCATATAATGCCGAACATGATTCATAACTGACCATATTGAATTTGGAGCTTCAGTTTCCTCCCTCAAATACCTCTTCTCAGTATTTCTGCAAGTGACTGTAGAGTTAATTGAATGAAAAGTCTTCTGGGTATCACACTGTGCATCTATTTATTTCTTTTTAAGAGAGAATGTGAAAAGCTTATTTCTCAAAGACAGCACACTTGGCTTTCCAGAAAGACGAACTTTTCATTTTAATGGAAAATAAGCATTCTTATTTTATTTCTTTGTTTAGGCAATGTACGGTACAATAACAAGTTGTTATTATGAATGTGGACATTCAAGGTGTTCAGTTTCTTTGGTCATCCATTCTCCCATGGTTGAGGTAAAGATAACCACCTCTGTTTTTCAGGGGAAGATCTGAAAGTGTTTTTCAATAAAGATATAGCAGGTAACTATGCCTAAAGGAAAAGAACAATTAGATTCAACCTCGAAAACAGTTTTAAAATCACAAAACCAACAAAATTTATACTCAGCTCACCTTTACAGTCTATATCCTTTCCCCTAGTATTTGCATTTAATGCATATATATCAGGTATTGTTGTGCTATTAACACAGATTCTCCTGGAAACAAATGACGGGGAAAGAAAGGAGCTACCCAGTTCCCCATCTTGTTACTGGTAGGCTCACTCTGATCCTTTCCTTTATTTTTGAAAGTAAAGCTTATTATATTTTTCCCCATCATAAAAATAAGAGATGATAGATATAGAAACTTTGCAAAATAAAGAAAATTAGAAAAAACAAGCAGCTTACCTTCAGTCCCACCACTCAAGAAAAACCCATCACCATTTTGGTATATTTCTTTTTGTTTTTCCCCTGCAATGTTTTATTTATTTTTGTTTTACATACTTATAATAATATTATATATGCATTTTGAATCTTATTTTTATTTTACTTAAAATAAAATAAGCACTTCTCAAAATTAAATGTGATTTTAATATTTATATATTAGTCTATCAAAAAGATATGCTGTGGTTTATTTAACCATAATCTGTATTTGAATTTGGCACCATGATGAATAGTACTATACCATTACCCAAGGACTGAAATTTATAGTTTTTTTTCATATTTGTAACTTTTTAAAACCATAAATAGACTTTAAGAAATACATTATATGTACATTTTTTAGTGTTCTTTAAAGATGGATATAATCAAAGTGCTTTCTAAAAGAATTCTGCTGATTTAAAATTTTATCAGCAATGTGTGAGGGTATCTGCTTTACTTCACCCTAACCAGCACTATGTATTATCTTTTAAAAAAAAATGTTGATTTGATAAGAGAAAAATTATATTTTGTGTCTCTTTCAATTTGCACTCTTCCACTTTTCTTTTTATGCTATAATTATACATTGATCAGGACTTTTTTTAATGGAGAGAGCATTTGACAATTCAGTGTGCTTACAACTGATATAGCTTCATGATTTGATAATTCTTCTGGATTACAAACCCTGAAAGTAAAGAAATTACTTAGAAAAAAGTATATACTTAGCATAATTAAATGATCCAGGGGCTTAATTAAGTGATCCAAAATCTAGAGTTTTTAAATCGCTTTGATTTATGAAACACACATGTAATTACTTCAAACAAGAATGTTTTGAATGTCTAAGGCATATATATTTCTTATGAATCTCTTATTTCTCATACCATACATAAAATAATAATAATAAAAAAACCTCCCTATCCACGATTATTACATCTTTCTTTCTCTATTCTAACAGATAATGGAAGAACAGAGTTGGACTTTTAATTGCAGTTCCTGCCTCCCTGAGTTTGTGTATTTCTTCTCACCAGAGAAGGAGAATTTTTATATTTTGATCTGGATTGTTTCTTCATTTTCATCCTGTTTTTTATTTTATTTTATTTTTTCACCAGCAATACCTACTGACACCAGGCTTACAATTATGATCCATGCCTCTGAGTATTAAATTGGCTTGTTTGACTAGACTTAGAATATGTATTCAAGAAGTTAGGCAGGATTTCATTGATGACGGTGGTGGAAAACATGAGAAAAAAACAAAACAAAAAACCTGTGTTCCAGATGTTTTCCCCTCACTTTCAAATCTTCACCTGAATCTTAGTCGATGTAAACATCTTTACATTTTATGGTAGTTATAGTTTTACAATATGAGTTTGAACAATAGGTGACTATTTGACAGGGAAAAGTCAATAAATTGAGAGCAAGAAATCAATTAATAGAACCTGAACTTAATGAGATAGACATTAAGGCAGGAAGGTACCATGACAAAGGATATTTGTACTATATATATATGTGACTAACGCTTTGGAGATGTTGTGTTCCTCTGAGCTAAGCTTAGAACTCAAAGTCCCTAAGTCTTAATTCTGGTTATGTGTCATTTACTAGGAATCTGCATAATTGTTATATTTTTGCCTTTGAAGACTGAAAGGAGATGCACCTAAGGGCACCCTTGAAGTATCATAAAAACAGTAACAAGGTCACATGATTACCTTTCAGTTAGAGCAATAAAGAATCTAGGTACAGCCCTTGGACTCACCACTATCAATTCAGAATTTCTTAAAGTATCTTCTTGAGCAGCTTACAAAAAAGCAAAATTGATGTGACGTGTATAGAATATCAGATTTTATTATGTTTCTATGAAATATACGACTCTATTTTGTCTTTATTGAAATAAAAACTGTGGACTTCTTTAAAATACTTGGACTCATCTAATATCTTTTAGCTACTATGCCCTTACCTGCTTATAAATTCAACCAACATTTCCTCCTCTTGCCTTTCTTTCCCTCCCTTCCTCACTCCATCTGTTCCTCTTCCCCCTCAATTTAACACGTATTTATTGAGTGTATTCGCCTAGGCACTGTATTAAGGATCATGTTGTCATCCTACATGGAAATCTTGGGAAAAGATAAAATATGGTATCCGTATTTTTGCCATAGGAACCTATTACTGTGACTCCATTGTCATTTCCATCAGAGTAAACCAATAGTTAAGTCTATTGAAATAGTTGAACCAGTTGTAAATTAGTTGTACATTCCAAATTAGTTACAATTACTTTTTGCACCTGTATTTAAAATTGTCCTTAAAGTAACTAGCATAAAGCTGGTGCTGTACACAATTTCTTTACCCAGATTTAAATTCAACAAACTTTTATCGAACACACAGTATTTGCCACTGGCACAGACATACCCATGCTCCTGTTACATCTATCTAGCCATCATCCATCTATCTGGTTGTCTAAGTATCAACTATTTATTATTTTATTTTTACAAAAGTAGGTAAAGGTTACAGAAAACTTGCCTGATGTCACATGGTCAACGGAAGTAAGAATTCAGATTCAAGTTGAAGTGTTTTGATTCCAGATGTATAGTTCTTCCTACAGCTTAGTGAGATGTAAGATTTGCTACAATGAGATTCCCTTTATAAGATGGAGTGAGGTTGTAATAGAAGCATGGGATTTGGAATCAGTCCAACTTGGATTTAAATCCTGGCTCTGCTACTCATCAGCTCTGTCGACCTTGAGAAAGTTAATCAATCTCATTGAGTCTCTATTAATTAATCTATAAAGTGGAGATGCTAGTTACTTGATAGATTCTCAGCACAGGTAATATTTATATACAAGATTAGTAGTTTTAAACTTAAATGCATGTAATAGAAAGTTCTTTGTTTCCATGTTGTTATTCAATTTGGGAAATTTCTTGTTAAAGCTTTCCTGGTTTAAAATATCTACATCCAGGCAGGGACCAATAAAGAGAAAAGATTGAAGTTGTCAAGGATTTCATTTTACTTGGCTCTACAGTCAATGAGCATGGAAACAGCAGTCAAGAAATCAAATGACATATTGCATTGGGAAAATCTGCTGCAAAAGACCTCTTTAAAGTGTTAAAAAGCAAAAATGTCACCTTGAAGACTAAGGTGCTCCTGACCCAAGCCATGATGTTTTTGATAGCCTCATATGCATGTGAAAGCTGGATGATAAGCAAGGAAGATGGAAGAAGAATTGAGGCCTTTGAATTGTGGTATTGGCGAAGAATATTGAATATACCATGGACTGCCAAAAGAAAGAACAAATCCATCTTGGAAGAAGTACAGCCAGAACGCTCCTTAGAAGCAAGGATGTTGAGACTGTATCTCACATATTTTGGACATGTTATCAGGAGGGACCTGTCCCTGGAGAAGGACATCATGCTTGGTAAAGTAGAGGGTCAGCGAAAAAGAGGAGATGGGTTGACACAGTGGCTGCAACAATGGACTCAAGTATAAAAATGATTGTGAGGATGGTGCTGGTCCAGGCAGTGTTTTGTTGTGTTGTACATAGAGTTGCTATGAGTTGGAATTGACTTGATGGTACCTAACAACAACAACACATCCAGGCAGAATAATCGCATATAGTTTAGTAAACATGTTTATTAAACTTCTTCATGTGAAAGTATGAAATAATAGAAAATGTTTGAAAAATAATGAATATTTGGCAAAGAAATCTGTCAAACAATTAGGGGTGGTTTTTTCCAATGAGTTGGAAATCTGATGTAGGAAGTTTTGATGTAGGGGATTTTAATCCAAAGAAAGGTATCCATTGCATACCAAATTCATTGAAAATAAAAAGTTATATTATATATGGACTCAGATATTCTGGATCATGATTCCGTAACAGACTTACTGATTGTTAGCAAGTACCTTCATCTTCATTTTCTTTATTATCTCCAGTAAACACAGTTTCGCATCATTATGCAAGGAGATTATAATGAGGTTATAATAAGCATAGAACTAAACCTCAAAACAAAATAAATTGTTTAGGAACTCTGTCAAAAAATGTTACATGTATGGAGAAATGGTGCTTAATCCACAGCATTATTATAATTATAATCAGTACTGTACAGTTCTATAGGGTACCTATGAAATGCTAGTATAGCATTAATATGCTTCCTCAATGGGCTGTATAGACCTGGCTCCTGATTATACATATTATGTGTAATTTTTAGATCGATGGTTTTTGCATTGGAAGAAATGAGCTGCTGATTACTTCCACCTCCACCCTGTAGCAGTGCCAGTGCTTTCATTCAGCACTGCTGCAACCCAGTGTGAAACAAAACAAAACAAAACAAAATAACAATAGCAACAAAGACCAGAACAAAAACGGCTGTGCTTCTCCCAAGAGAAGGTTGTCGTTGTTTTTAGGTGCCATCGGTTCTGACTCACAGAGTTCCTGTGCACAGCAGAATGAAACACTACACAGTCCTGTGCCATCGTCACGATCGTTGCTATGCTTAAGCCCATTCTTGCAGCCACTGTGTCAGTACATCTCCTTGAGGGTCTTCCTCTTTTTCACTGACCCTCTACTTTACCAAGCATGATGTCCTTCTCTAGGAAATGGTCCCTCCGGATAACATGACTAAAGTATGTGAGACAAAGTCTTGTTATCCTTGCTTCTAAGGAACATTTTGGCTGTACTTATTCCAAGACTGATCTGTCTGTTCTTCTGGCAGTCCATGGCATATTCAGTATTTTTTGTCAACACCACATCTCAAAGGTGTCAATTCTTCGATCTTCCTTAAGGGTAATGTGAACAGCCATGTTGAGATCTTAGAGTGTGGCTAGGTAAGGAAATAGGGAATATTAGATTTAGAAGATTGAGCTTCCATCAGAAGCTATATTTATCCAAATTCTCCCAGGGAGGGAGGAGAAAATTAGAGTTATTATCTTTTGTGTGTATGTGAATATATGTCTTATAGTTGTTTACTTTGATCCACGAAATATATGAACATTCAGAATGAGCTGAATTAGTTTGACTTTATGTTGTCTACAAAAACCACTGTAAAAATTAAATTAATAATAATTTAAGGATTGGCATAAGGAAACCATATAAACTACTTAAAAGAACAGTTTTTTCCTCCCATATCCTCAGTAGTTAGCAACACATTTAAAAGAAACCTGTTGTTAAGATAGTTGCAATTATGCAGGTACCTTAAGGACGAAATAAAGTATCTCTTGCTTGATGTACTTTTAGTTACTATGAATACTTAAGTGTTTAATTGCTCTCTTCAAAAATATTGTGTTCACATTTTTCATTAATCCAGGCTTTTACTGAAGTTTGTTCAAAATATCTCTAGGCTCATTCCATGAATACAACAGTTTCATTCATGTTCCAAGGCTTTATTTTGTTTTCATGACCTGAAATGCCTTTTTATATAAAAATATTTTGTACAGTATATATTTTAAAGAGTTTTTGTAGTTTTTTTGTTTGAATACTCAACCACATGATAAGTTTCTTGTGGGGAGGACCCATGTTTTACGTATCTATTGTACCTACAGAGCCCAACACAGTGCCAGGCATATGGCGGCTGCTCATTAAAAATTTAATGGACACTGTTTGTGACCAGACTGCAATATATGTAAGTGACGCTTAAGACAATTTGGTGGTACCATACTATGGGCAAGGGTGGCATTTTGTTGATGTTGATTCTCTATTTACTTTTCCACTTTCATATTGTGCCATTTTGCCAGTCTTTAAATGAAAGCAGTACAAGGGAATCTTCTTCAAGCTTCTTACAGAAAAATTCTGTAAATATTTGTTGAATATGGAGTGACTGCTCTTAGAAAAGAAAATAAATGAGATAAATATAAGCCTGTATATAAAACAAGTTATCTTTTAGCTAGCTATGTCACTTCTTACCTTGGCATAGAAGCTGGATTTTAAGTCTACACCTAGAGACAAATGAAGATACTGCAGATAAGTAGGCTGTGGAATGAACTGCGGGTAATGAGGACAGTAGAAAATATGCATTTTATTACTTCTTTCAGCAAAGTATAGTGTTTTCTCTTTGGAAATAAGTGCACCAGAGCCTTAGTAAATGAACAGTGCTCTGTAGTTGATTTAATGAAAATGAAAGTTGGTGATTGGTGACCATGGTTTTTAATCAGATTGCTTATTAATTTAATTTATAACTAAAATGCTAAATCCCTTTAAATGCCTTGGAACTAGACAAGAAGTATTTGTGCTGCATTACTTTGAGGAAATAATCAAAAATAAAAATTGCAGGTATACATGGAAAACATGAAGACTTACATTGAGAAATAAGCACTAAATTAATATGGCACAGGAAGAGCTGTAGAATATACATACTAAAAAGATATAATACCATTAAAAATAGTGGATAAAGCCGCACAAAGTCCACCAATAAAAATGCA